TAAAATAAATAATTAATTATCATTTAGCTTTTTCTTTTTATTTTAATTTCCTCCCTTTAATTCCTTCCTTCTTTCCCCCTTGATTCCCCTCACTTCACTCACTTCCCTCCTGATTTATCTTGCTTCCCCATTCACTTCGCTTTCCCTCACTTCCCCCTTGTTTCCCTCTCTTCCCCTCGATTCCACTCACTCTTCTCGCTTCCCTTCACTTCTCCCATTTACTTCTTCACTTTAAACACCTTATTTTAATTCAATGGAAAATTTTGTACAACATATGTCTCAGTCAGGAATACAATAAATTAATACAATAAATTTAAACAATTTTTTTTAAGTAATAAAAATCTGAAAATATAGGTGACGCGTAATATATATATTGCAGATCTGGCCATTAGTTATTTGATAATTTAAGTGTAATTTGATTGACTAAATTGTAACCCAATATATAACCCTATTATAAAATTCAGAAAAGAATATCGGGCACCCGAATAAAAATTTTTAATAAATCAGGTACCCGATATTACTATTTATTATCATGTACCTGATATTGAAGACAATATCGGGTACCCGAAATCTGATATTAATAATAATATCGGGCACCAGACAGAGAAATATTATTTATCATTCACATATCATGACAATATCGGGTACATTATAAATTTTGTAAAATTAACAATTTGATACTTATAAAAATCATGACTATCGGGTATCCGATATTCTGATATGTACCTGATATGTGTCTGATATATATCCGATATCCATAAATATCTGGCATCCGATATATAGCCGATATGTACCTGATATATATCCGATATTTTTGATTTTGACCTGTGAAAGACCAATGGGAAAACTTCATATTCTGTATTAAAAATAATTTATACATGAGAAAACAAATAGCATATAATCCAGAATTTGGAGAATTTAAAAAACAATTAGTAGAAACTGCAATAATAAAAGTATAAAAATTCTTTATTATCAGATATAATTTTATTTTCCTAATGTAGGAAAGTAAGTCTGCCTACGCATCTGCCATATTTATTTTTTCAGTTAGCTCCATTGATTATCTATTAAACAAAAAGTCTAGGTTAAAAAAATTCACATGTTTAATATAAACAATATAATGACAGAATATAGCCAAAATTTTATAGAACAGATTTATATGACTAATAATGTGTTAAAAAAAATATATCTTCAGAAAAATCCGTATGGACAATGTATTAGATACCGACATTTGTATAGAGGTTCAGTTGATACTCATTTATATCTTTTACAATATTGTTATCCGTGTTTCAGAAAACAAGCAGTGTTAACTATTCAGCGAATATTTCGTTCATGAAATCAAAAACAAATAAACTCGGCCAAAATAATCTAGCGAGCAGTAATTAAATAGTTTTATCGACCCAATGGATCATTTATGAAGCAAGCCAAAGATCGATATTACTAACGGGCTAAACTGAAAAGGTGATATAATAAGCCTCGAGGGAGCGATGACATGTGACTAATTTTTCATTTAATAAATTATATTTACCTAATGTAGAAAAGCAAGTCGGCCTGTGCATCTGCCATATTTAATTTTTTCGTCTAGCTTAGAGAATTGTACGTCCAAATTTGAAACAGACTTTTCTGATCTTGAGAATATATAATTATTTATCAAGTTATTAATTATTTTTTCGTGATAATATACATCATTAAATATACTTAACATGTTCGTTGATACTCTTGTAGAAGAAAAAACCCCAGTCAAAATGTTAATTAATACATCCTCAAAATTTAATACCATTAGTAAGAGGTTGTTCGATAAGCTTGAAGAAGATTATGGATTAGAAGGTATATCTGGTGATGATTTGATAGGCGAAGAAATAAAATACTTAGATCTACAATTTTGCTATAAAAGAAAGTGGCAATGCTTAGATGGCACCGAAGTAATAGACTTTCAAATTCGCAAAAATCCATCATTCGATTTGGTGCTGGGACAAGAATAGTTATGGATGCATAAAGTAAAAATTATCTTTGGATTTTCTCCCAGAACCTATGAACACCGTGATAAAATTGTAATAGATGATATAAATATCCCATTGATCGAAGGAGATGGCAGACCCATGGATGACTCGAAGAGTCATAAAACCAGCTCTGGTAAAAATAACTTACCTAAGTCCGATCTATCAATAGAGGAGATCACAAATATAACCAAGAAACTTCTTTCAAATGCCAAAGATAATAAATACCAAAAGAGCCATCATGGGATATTTCACAACATAACTCCTGTACCTCCATTATTCAGAAGATTAAATAATGATGTACTCAAAAATAGCAGAGTTAACAAGAATAAGAAATATCCTAAAGTAGATTTAGGCGATAGGTGAAGAAAGTTTTCATTAAAAACGCACCTCAATAATATTTGGAAGTCAGTTCATTCTATAGAAAATGATATAGAGTATAGAGTTTTTGATAAATTTCGTATTATTGAGTATGAACTAAGTTGTATAAATAAAGGAAAGTTATCATGGGTTCTGTTGGATTCTTCAGATACTTCAAACTCAAGTGATTCTTCTTCATCTAGATTGCGATCAGAAGTTATAGATACGTATATGACAACATCCGTTAAAAAATGTCCTACTAAATGAAAAATCGCAAAGTAAGAATGCATAATATCTAAACATTAAACATTTTCCCAAATTTGAATCGTTCTCATCGCCCGTGACATATGTTCGAGATAAATTAATCATCAACCATACTAGCTTTGTTAAAATAATTTTTTCTTAAGGAGAGAAGTCATTTTTGCGTAATCTTTGATGGAATTCACTTCGTGTAGTTTGAAATTTCATATGCGAGGATAGGAGTTCTTTACCTCTATATTTTATATCACGTGGAACGAACTTAGTGATAGTATAATTAGTGTCATATTTATACCTGCCACCCAAATTCAAAATCCAAATACTGAAATTTCAAATGCCGAAATCCCAAATCCCAAATCCCAAATCCCAAATACTAGTAATTTGGAATTTGGCAACACGTATAGTCATATTCCAGGTTTGTAGGTTGATAATTAATTTTCTCTTTAAGGCCATATATACGTACCATTAAATTAAGTCTTTCAACCGTACCTCTCATATTCCGTTTCAATTTCACGATTGATTTTTGATAATGTTCATCTTTAATCTTGTCTTCACAGTATTGTACAATATCTTCGAGATTTACATAACTTAACCATAAATCCTGCACTAAATAAACAAGTGATGTCTGGAGATCATTAAGTTCTTCTTCTGGTCTCATGTCAAGTGTTGAATCCTGCTCTACCTCAATCTTTGGATCAAGTTTGATCAAAGCGTCTTTACTGATATTTGTACCTACTATAGAAAGAAATTCCAAGTTTAGACAATGCTAAGCGATTTCATTGGTAACTATATTAGTGACAAGACGGCAACACCTGATATCGAGATATTTTAAATTTTTACACGAACATACAATATTACAGATAGATTTGTCAAAAGTATCGCTAACGCCGATATCAAGATGTTCGAGCTTTGAACAAGAGTTAGCAATATTACAGATAGATAAATCGGTAATAAATCTATACTGGTCAAGTTTGAGATATTCTAAACTGTAAATATGTTGCAACAATTTATTAACTGAATTATCAGTAATATTATGGCAACCTTTTAAAGAGAGATGCTGAAGATTAGGACATGAGTACGCAATTGCAATTATCGTCCGATCAGTAATTGGCCTATATCATTTTAATCTGCCAATGTATAGAAGTTCTAATTTATAATATACTTTTACTATTTTATATATGAAATCATCAGTAGTATTCCTGCAAAAACCAATATCAAGGTAACGTAATTTTTTGCATAATTGTGCAATTTCATATATGGAGTAATCAGTTATATCTTGGTAATCGTGGATATTAAGAGATTCTAAGTTAAAATATGATCAGGAAATTTCTATAAGTGACATATCAGTAAAACTTTTACTTTGTTCAAAATTTAGACTGGTTATATTTGGGTATGAGCGTAATATACTTAGAACTTTTTATCTGAGAGCTTAAAATAATGGATAATTTTGAGATTTTTTAGGCTTGAACTATAAGATGATTTCTGTTTTTTATATGCCAACGTTAAAAATTCTTCTAAAAGAGTAATATCTTTACCAGAGGCCGATGTTCTATCTCCTATAAACTTGAGGTGAGTAACTTCAGCTGAAAGCCAGCTTACATCATTACTAGTATTGATTCCATTTTCTTTTATTTCAGATAGTATTTTTTGTAAACTATATTTATAATAATATACATTTAAAGTAAAAAAATAATCGATCGTGATTATCGAGATTTTTATGTATTGCATTACACGTTGTTACTATAGGTTTTCTCCACTTTCATAATTTCTTATTATTTTATTTTATTTTATTCTTATTTGTATTTATTTTATTAGTATAGCTATTTAGTATATTTTAATATATTTAGTATATTCATTTATTAGTATTTATTTATTTAGTAGCATAATACGAATTATATAAATCAATAATGTAGATCATAGTGGCCCAGTTACTAGTCAATTTACTGACCAATTTAGTGGCCAACTGATTGACCAACTCAATGGCCAACTGATTGACACAATTATTGACCAAGATTTTGGCCAACTTACTGATCAACTTACTGACCAAATTCAATATTATAAAAAGGATGAGTTTTCTTTCCACCCCAAAGGAGATTTGGATAGTTTTCAAATAAGATTTGAATAATTCTAAATAGTGAAATTTAGAAAGTAATCTCAATTGTAATATTTTTATAATCCTAAAGTAATTG